CGCGGCTTGGGTTACCTGTTGTGCATGCAAGATCAATACAACTTCTGTCGCGGCAGTTTGCAAGATATACGTCAACGTATCGAAGATTGTATCGAATATTGGGTGAAACCAAACTTGCGCACAGTAACGGCGGAATGGGAACACATGACCCTATGCCTCTACGAGGACATCGCTGCAATTTCTTCTTTGAGAAGTTACAAAGTCTTTCTGCTCTAACTTTGCGACATATTCAAACTCAAAATGCATCGTCTGTACAGTTCTCTCAATTTTTGGGAAAGAATAGTGTACGTATTGTTGAAGTTTCAATTCCTCTATTTGACAAAATTGCCGGGTGTTTTTCCTGTCATGAACGCGATGTTTCATAAGATTCTAAATCGAGCGGCAAACTTCGGATTTAAGGAACATGCCAAACTTAAATTAAATTATTCAGAATCATCCCGGAATGTCATGCATATTTAAATCAATCAATTATAAAATAGTTTGTATAACTTATTAACATTTAATCATAAGTTTTATTAACTTTTAGCATAGCCATTTTTTAATCATAGGTAATCAAATTCAAAATCAAATAGATTTTGTTTTTTAAAGAAATATCTCTTTGCTGTTTTTAAAAATTGATATTCCTGCAAATTTTTTTGCAGTACAAGATAATATATAAATAATAAAGGCGTAGATAGAGTATTCAGCAAATATATAATCAGAAATTATTTTTACACATGGTGACACATAATTATTAATTTTTTCATTAAAACGTAAAATATTTGTACATGTGTACAATAATATACATATTAGTTAAAGTTGTAAAGGAAGCGTGTCAAATGGATGTCTATGAGTGTTTCTTCATAATTAATGAATAAAAGATTATCAAATCAAAGAATTATGACAAATGATCATTATTTACACGTTGCGAATAAAGAGTTAAACTGCGTAGTATAATTTTACATCGTTAAGTATTAATATGTAAAGTTTTTATCTCTTTGGTTAGATTTTTTCTTAGATAATAATGTATTTCATTTGGAAAATATGTATGCATAAAAAAATATTATAAATTATATAATATAAATTTTTTTACAACAAAATTTAATTGCAATTTATCTGTAACTCATCTATTACGGGGAAAAACTTACATAACTTTAATAAAAGGCAATAAAATATGTCATCAAGGCAATAAAATATGTCATCAAGCAATAAAATATGTCATCAAAGCAATAAAATATGTCATCAAGCAGCAAATATGATATTATTTGATTATATAATTTTATCATGTAATGAAATACATTATTCATTTAAATAGATTATTTTAGCAGTTGCATATATTATTGCAGCAAAAATTCTAATTGTTATAATTATACAAATTAATAAATTGATAAATTGTTATAATTATATATTAAAATGTAATATTAATCTGCATTATAAAAAAAGATAAAAAAGATTATTTGTATTATAGAAAGAATTATAGGAAGAAGATTGACTACAAAATAAAAGAATTGATCTTTTTGATTTTTTTAATTAGAAAATGAAAGAATTGATTTTTTAAAATCATTTTTTAAGATGTCTAAATATAGTATATCAGATTAATGATTTATTACAAAAGATTAAATTAGCTATTATAAAAAATATTATTTAATTCAAAACAGCAGACAGTCTAACTAAAAAATTAATAATTTGTATAAGATAAATTTATTTCACAATAATTTTTATATTACTTGATTAGTAATTATTTTTTATTTGAGAAAAATTTGTACCATAATAATAATAAGTGCTATCATATTTGTGTCATTACCGTTTCATAATACATCTTACGACATATATTTTATTGCCCTTGTACGACGATAATTTATCATATTTGTGTCATTGTCGTTTTATATATATAATATACATCATAAGACATATACATCATTATCCTTGAATTTTTTCTCAAAACGAGAAATTGACAAAATTTAATATGGATTGTGATGTACAAATATATATATATATATATATATATATATATATATATATATATATATATACATATATACAGGGTTGGGCAAAAGTCCGGAAACGGTCAAATATCTCGAAAAGGATCAACTATAGCGAAAAATTGTAAATAGCAAAGTTGTAGGGCTTAAAAAAATGTACCTAATGATGACTAAAAATTTTACTTTGAGTGGAGGACGAAGATCATATAAAAGTCAAATTGAATTTTTTAAATGGAACCCCCTATTTTTCATTGCATATTCTTGTAGCTTATCTCGAGAGCTTTCCAAAACACTATAATTAAGTACCTTTTTATTAAGTACTTTTTGAGTTATAAGGCTTGAAATAATTTCTTAATTTTATATAAACCATCAAATATCTAGTAAACCATTCATTTTTCGATTATCTTACCTTGATACTTTTATGTACAAAATAATGAGAGGAATCAATTGGTGTAAAGAAAACATACAGTTGTTTTTAAGAAAAAATATGGAATTGTTAATTGCAAATTACATATTTTTTCTTAGAAACAACTATGTGTTTTCTTTACACCAATTGATTCCTCTCATTAATTTGTACATAAAAGTATGAAGGTAAGATAATCGAAAAATGAATGGTTTACTAGATATTTTATGGTTTATGTAAAATTAAGAAATTATTTCAACCCTCATAACTCGCAAAGTACTTAATAAAAATGAACATTATTATAGTGTTTTGGAAAGCTCTTGAATTAAGCTATAAGAATATGCAATCAAATGTAGGGGGTGTCATTTAAAAAAGTCAATGTGACCTTGACCTGACCTTGACGACGCCATCCAAGGTCAAACTGATAGAATCAGTATATAGATCTTCTTAAACCCTACAACTTTTGTTGGAAACACTTTTCTGTAAAACGTATATTTTCCGAGATATTTAGGGGTTTCCATACTTTTGGTAGACCCTGTATATATATATATATATATATATTTACAAGAATGGATATTACAGTTTGTTCATTTTCAGAGACAAACAATATATAATATTCATGATATTTGTCAGCAATTTTCTATAATCTTATTTTTTAAGTCAATAATTTAAACAAACAGCATGTCATTCACGTAAGTATCAGTTGTAATAAATGACAGAAAAGAAATAGCAAACACAGAAATAAATTAAACAATATTTTTTTATTTTTAGTATAACTATCAATATTTTATATTTCAACTATAAAATTAATTACAAAATTTACCTAATTGTAATGGAAAATTTCTGAAAATATAATTCAACTATTTAACATAAATCAGAAAGGCTTAGAATAAAATTATATTGACATTCTTTTTTTATCTTTCTCGTTATTAAAAATAATTTAATTAAAAAGAAATTCTTTTTTCATCAAAAGCGCATTTACACAAACAAATTTTATAAAAGATTTAAGATTTTCCGAAAAATAATAAAAAAAGATTGGAAAAATAATACTTTCAAAAAAATTTTTCTTACATTATATACGTAATTGTAAAGAATTTTTTCAAATAAAAAAATTACAAGCTGTAAAATTTATCTGCAAATTGTGGCATTTTTGATAAATAAATTAGATAAATAATAAAATAGATTTGTCAAAACGTTGAAGACAATTGAAGACGATTGAAGTGTTTAGTAACTATTCACTATTATGAATAGATAATTATAATAAATTCGAGAATAATTTGAAAAAAATATTTAATTTTTTACTTAAGCAATTAATCTTTTCTTGTCAGACAAGTGAATGTAATGGCAGCATGCAATACGAGAGATCCAGAGATCTTAAAAATAGTTAAATGTTTGCGTGCGATCTCTTTCGCAACACTAAATTAAAATAAATCCGCAGAAGAGGAGGGAAATGAAATAAATGGAGTCGCCAACATGGCACAGAAGTTTATTCATAGCAGCTTCTTTTTGCATGTCTATTTTGCAAAACGTTTTAGCGTTCTGTATAATCTACATATTTAGCGGTGCTAATGGTTAAAAATAGATTTTGTTAATATAGCATCGAAGATATTATAAAATATAAGAAAGGTACAAAAATCGTCATATTGTACATATTATTATCATTTTGTTTTTATATTAAAAATCTTCAAAAATGAAAATTTATTTTACTTACAAATATATTTATTAAAGAACATTTTTTATAAAGTAGAGCAGTTTTGATAACAGTGTTTTAAACTTTTAAACAAGCAAAGCCTTTTTGTATATACATTGTATAACTTAGAAAGAAATTAAGAAATTTGCTAGAAAACTGACATATTTATTAAAAATTACAGAAATAAAAGTAAATACGAAATTGAAAGAATAGTAAAGAATAAGACATTTAAAAAAATACTCACACATTGCTGTTATCAATATTTAAACTGAGAAAAGTTCGTTAAGAAAAATTCATTAAAAATTATTCGATAAATTTTTCGACAAATCAAAAAAGAATCTTCGAAACTTTAAAATACTTGAGTCAATTTAAAACATGTGAATAATCATTATAAATATACAAGTTACGGATTTTTACTGAATTAATCAATAAAGCAGACAAATTCTTTCTTTTTCTGAGTTATAAAAATGGATATAAAAATGCAAATAGAGGCATATTAGTTGTTTAGGACATATAAGCCAGTTTTAGTTTTTTTAATATCAAGAAAACTATATAAAAAATATATAACAATGTAACAATAAAAATATATAACATTGTAACAATATATAACAATGTAACAATATGTATATATTAATTTGCATTTATAAAATTAAATATTTAATAATTCATAAATTTTTTAATGTAACAAACAAATTTATCGTGGAACATATTTAAGTGCATTTAAATTGTATAAGACTTGTAGATCTATTTAAGAAGTTTACATAACAATAAGTTAATCCTGGCATGCTCACTAGAGACTTGTAGATCTATTTCAGAAGTTTACATAACAATAAGTTAACCCTGGCATGCTCACTATTATGTCACGTGATTAACGTTTGCCGATAAGAAATAGGAGGGGAAGAACATTGCACTATATAAATGCAATCGCGTGTGTGATGCAGAAGTTCAAAATTATTTCTGCAACTCTACCGTCGTATTATGAATCACTAAAAACTAAAAAGCGCTGAAAAACTTATTTCTTAAACATTTCGTGTTTTTCTTTATTGGTAATTTATTAAACTTCAATCTAATATTTATTTAGATGCAATTTTTTTCTATTTTCAATTATATTAATTGGAGTTTGTCTGTCTAAAAAGAGTATTTTAAAAATATAAATAATTTGTGTGTCCAAAAAGAATATTTTAAAAATATAAATAGTTTGTGTGTCTAAAGAAAATATTTTAAAAATATAAATAGTTTATGTATCTACTGAGAATATTCTAAAAATTAATATCATGAAAAACGTTGATGTTAACTTTATGTGATCCTTTCAAGTTTAGAATTTTAATACAAACTATTTATTGCATATTCTTAAAAATAACATTAAACTGCTTTTGTTCTCTAATATTTCTCGATTCATTAATTTTGTATCTTTGCTATTTAATAGAAAAACGCATGGCTAGACGCATCATTCTCTTTCGATTTGTGTGCTATCGTTTATCAACTTAAATCCAATATAAATTAATTAAGGAGATAAAAATGAAATAATGTTTATTATTGCAATTATTGATATTGAATCGTAACAATTGATTATTTATAAATTAAAATAAGCTGACAAATTTATATCTAAATTTGTGTAAGTTAATCTCCAATATATTCTAATGAAGGTATTATTTAAAGTCGGAGGTCAAGATGATCAATTATTCTTGAAAAAAATTATTCTCTTAATATTAAAAAAATATCCTTAATTATCATGCAGTAATCATACTATCTTTACAATATAGTTTCCTAATCGGGATTATTTCTTTTTTCGAGTGATGCATGTGAATGAGAAACAAGTTTATAATAATCATGATAATACTTCTGTGCTTCCAATTTTAACAATAATTCATTTAACACGTTGAACGCCATGTCGGTTATTGGTGTCCGATGATAAATTTTTATGCCGTATCGGTTATCGGTGACCAACAATACATTAAAATTTAATAAATAATATTCTAATATTAAAAATCGAAAAGTTTGAAGATTAAAAAAAGAAAAATGTATCTAAATATTACTTTTATTAATAATGATAAATAGGAAAAGTTACCAATGCGTACTGATCTCCTAAATCGTACACCATGGAGTTTCCTATTATTATTTAACATTTGCGACCAACAGTTGTTCTCTAGAGTGGTATATTTTGAAAGTTAGGTTACAATTTCTATTATATAATTTATCCTTTGTAAGACCGTGTTATCTGTGTTCTCTTAATCGACTATTCAAAATCAAGATTGACGATTATATATTTATCAATTATATACCACTATCTATTTGTAACCATTATATGATAATCATTATCCATTTCGCAAATAGTTTAATTAAATTTTCTTCTATATTATTATAATCTTAAATACTTTCTATTATTTAAACCAAATTTTATAGGTACGATTTTGGAGTATGATATTTGAAAAATTAGTTACCAAAATTGTACTTTTGATCACTTTCAATTGCATAGAATATATATGTAAATAATAAAACTTTATAAGTTATTTATTGCCTCAAAATGTTTAAATAATGATGTCACTCTATCTTTACCGGCATATTTATTTTTTTAAATAATCATATTTTCTCAATAATCCAAAATTCTTTAAGTAGTACGATTTTGGCAACTTTCCCTTATAATACAATGCAATAATAAAATCATTTTAATAGATTTTGTTAAAACGAAACCGAACTAATGAAGGTTGCTGAAGAATAGAAAACATTTCTAACGAAACGGAGAGAATATACGTGAAAATATATACAAAATATACACGAAGTTATATGTCACTGGATCACATTTTGACGTCAGTTTATTATTAGCATTCGAATCTTTTTCCTTAATCGGCTATGTGCGCGCTGAGTGTTCGTGTCCGTTTCTGTTTCGTCTTCTCGAGTCGGAGTTGCCTTTGTCTAATTATAATTATTGCAAGGCTTTGTATCTATATCGTGTACATTTATTTTGTTAGTGCATCGCTCTTTGCGCCTTGCAACGCTTAAAGGGCTGCTTGCATCTGGCTTCCTTGACGGGTCCACGTTCGCTCTCTAAGACTATGCACGTATGATGACTATTTTTTCCTCTCTTCTCTATTAATGACTGCGTTTTCAATGTTATCTTATTTGGTTCTTTTTTGTCTTATCAGAATCACTGAAGAAGGCTCGAACTGAGTCCGAAACGTTTGATGTCAATAAAGAAGAAAGATCGTTTAATGTGATCGTTTTCATGGATTATTTTTTTTCTCCAAAAAAACATGCCTTACAACTGCGTTGGCTCTTTATGAGCTTTTACTATATTTTATTTTAATTCGTTAATGGAACATTATTAATTGGTGCGCATGCTCTTGTAAGTATTTATTGATATTTTAAATATATCTATTAAGTTATATTTTTCTACGGCATTACTTTTATGCCTTTGTAAAATCACAATTATAATATAAATTTTTATTTTTTTAGAGTATTGAAGAAATTTATGGTACTTCCTACAACTTTTGTAGAAAAAACACAGACATCGTTTATACATTACATAAAATTACATAAAATTTTCGTCTTTTTTATAGAACAGGCTTTTTACGAAGAACAAGGAAATTTCAAAAAAGGTACAAAATACCATAAATATAAATATATATGTCTGGCATGATAAAAACTTTCGATAATTATATAGAATGTGTCTTTCAAAGCCAAGCATGATATAATAGATGGCGCATTATAGTCCACAAAGCCAAAAAACCCCGGATTCGATTTCCGGTAGAATCGGCATTAAACTGCAGGTCCTATATATGTGATAATCTGATGCGTAACATAGGTATATGAAAGAAAGAAAACCACGTTCAAAAAAAAGACTGAGGAGGATGTCTTTCAAATGTATCTGTTAATAATTACATAAGCTAACAAAATAAGCTTTTTTTGCTTAAATTAATGGTTAGAAGCATGGCTGACTAGATTCTGCGCTTTTTACAATAATATAGTATGCCGCTGTAAGCCTCATGTCGATTCGAGATTCGACGACGAACTGCATAAATATGTCCTCGGTTGTCAGGAAGTAAACATGGACTCGAGTTTATAGATGTCAAAAATTATATTATCATCCGCAATGTAAATAAACTAATATGAAAATAAACTAATAAGGAACAATATTACTTTAGCTGAATTCATTATTACATAAGTGTGTAATTTGCATTTGACAGATACATATTTTTTTTCTTATAATATAATAACTGTTTTTTTAAACCAATTGATTCCTTTTATTATACATAAAAGTATTAGGTAAGATAATAAAAAAATGAATATTCTACGAGATATTTTATAATTTAAAATGAATATCATATAATGATATAATATTTTATAATGTAAAATGAAAAAATTATTTCAAGCATTATAACTCAAAAACTACTGTGAAAAAATACTTTACTACAATGTTTTGGAAGCTCTTGAGATAAGCTACAAGAATATAAAAAAATAGGTAGTAATATAAAATAAGAGATTCATTTAAGAAATTAAAAGTGGCGAAAATCTTATTTTATTTTGTACTTGTTTTTAATTATATTTTCTATTTCCCCAAAAACAGATTCAGCATTCGGAATTTTGCACAAGATCCTTACAAGATAACGAATCGTCACAATGTTACAATCTAAAGAATTAAAACGATCTTTCGACGAGAATTTATTGAATGACTACGCAAAGAACGACGTCGCTCTGAAGGAAGAGATTCAAAAGAACAGCGACTTTATGAGCAACTTTAAATCTACTAATGATGATTGTGACAAATCGGTTCTTGTTTCAGTGAACTTCCGTACCGATCAACACAAAAAATTCATAACAATGTGCAAACAGGAACTCAGTGACGATTTGCCAATGGATTTCAATCAATGGACGCTCAAAGAACAATATAACCATCTCATAAACAATATTAGCAAATATTTCCCGAACATACCCAAATCCCTGAGATCCATTTTGCCGGCGACCTTCGAGGATGGAGATTGCGGTCGATCGGCGAACGAGAGACCGGATTGGTTGGATATGAACAAATTTTACCGCGGACAACAATTCGCCTTGCGTTATTTCTGCGCAATCTCCCTAAGCAATTTGATAAGTCTACCATTGTCGTTTAGTTTTGCCGATGGATTGAAACCGCTTATCCTTAGTCAAAAATCCAGCACACCATATAACGCTTTCAAGCGCTACTTATCATCAATCAGACATTTCAGGAATTGGTACACGAGTGATCCTTGGTGTGAAGGAACGCAAGCCTATCACGACATTCAAGTGGTACGAAAGTTGCATCGCGCCATGCGACAGAAGTTATGTAGCATGAGCGACGATGAGATCGATCTGGCTAGCAAAATGTCATATATGAAATGCCCAATGTTTCAAACGATTGCGAAGGATTTCGCGGATGCATGTCCGTTGGCGAAGAGCCGACAATGCCCGTTTACGATGTCAAGGATAAAGGGATTGAATCAAGGCGACATGTTTGGCACGCAATTTGCCTGCATGGGTTTGATAGTACTCTATCCAGAACAATTCGGAATATATGATGCCAGCGACGAAGATCTGGAAGCTTTCTGTCATCTCTGGCGCGGCTTGGGTTACCTGTTGGGCATGCAAGATCAATACAACTTCTGTCGCGGCAGTTTGCAAGATATACGTCAACGTATCGAAGATTGTATCGAATATTGGGTGAAACCAAACTTGCGCACAGTAACGGCGGAATGGGAACACATGACTCTATGCCTCTACGAGGGCATCGCTGCAATTTCTTCTTTGAGCAGTTACAAAGTCTTTCTGCTATATCTTTGCGACATATTCAAACTTAAAATGCCTCGTCTGTACAGTTCTCTCAATTTTTGGGACAGAATAGTGTACGTACTGTTGAAGTTTCAATTCCTCTATTTGACAAAATTGCCGGGTGTTTTTCCTGTCATGAACGCGATGTTTCATAAGGATCTAAATCGAGCGGCAAACTTCGGATTTAAGGAACATGCCAAACTTAAATTAAATTATTCAGAATCATCCCGGAATGTCATGCATATTTAAATCAATCAATTATAAAATAGTTTGTATAACTTATTAACATTTAATCATAAGTTTTATTAACTTTTAGCATAGCCATTTTTTAATCATAGGTAATCAAATTCAAAATCAAATAGATTTTGTTTTTTAAAGAAATATCTCTTTGCTGTTTTTAAAAATTGATATTCCTGCAAATTTTTTTGCAGTACAAGATAAGATATAAATAATAAAGGCGTGAGATAGAGTATTCAGCAAATATATAATCAGAAATTATTTTTACACATGGTGACACATAATTATTAATTTTTTCATTAAAACGTAGAATATTTGTACATGTGTACAATAATATACATAGTTATATAGTTAAAGTTGTAAAGGCAGCATGTCAAATGGATGTCTATGAGTGTTTCTTCATAATTAATGAATGAAAGATTATCAAATCAAAGAATTATGAAAAATGATCATTATTTACACGTTGCGAATAAAGAATTAAACTGCGTAGTATAATTTTACATCGTTAAGTATTAATATGTAAAGTTTTTATCTCTTTGGTTAGATTTTTTCTTAGATAATAATGTATTTCATTTGGAAAATATATATGCATAAAAAAATATTATAAATTATATAATATAAATTTTTTTACAACAAAATTTAATTGCAATTTATCTGTAACTCATCTATTACGGGGAAAAACTTACATAACTTTAATAAAAGGCAATAAAATATGTCATCAAGGCAATAAAATATGTCATCAAGCAATAAAATATGTCATCAAAGCAATAAAATATGTCATCAAGCAGCAAATATGATATTATTTGATTATATAATTTTATCATGTAATGAAATACATTATTCATTTAAATAGATTATTTTAGCAGTTGCATATATTATTGCAGCAAAAATTCTAATTGTTATAATTATACAAATTAATAAATTGATAAATTGTTATAATTATATATTAAAATGTAATATTAATCTGCATTATAAAAAAAGATAAAAAAGATTATTTGTATTATAGAAAGAATTATAGGAAGAAGATTGACTACAAAATAAAAGAATTGATCTTTTTGATTTTTTTAATTAGAAAATGAAAGAATTGATTTTTTAAAATCATTTTTTAAGATGTCTAAATATAGTATATCAGATTAATGATTTATTACAAAAGATTAAATTAGCTATTATAAAAAATATTATTTAATTCAAAACAGCAGACAGTCTAACTAAAAAATTAACAATTTGTATAAGATAAATTTATATCACAATAATTTTTATATTACTTGATTAGTAATTATTTTTTATTTGAGAACAATTTGTATCATAATAATAATAAGTGCTATCATATTTGTGTCATTACCGTTTCATAATACATCTTACGACATATATTTTATTGCCCTTGTACGACGATAATTTATCATATTTGTGTCGTTACCGTTTTATATATATATATAATATACATCATAATCCTTGAATTTTTTCTCAAAACGAGAAATTGATAAAATTTAATATGGATTGCGACGTACAAATATATATATATATATATATATATATATATATATATATATTTACAATAATGTATATATATATATATATTTACAAGAATGGATATTAAAGTTCGTTCATTTTCAGAGACAAACAATATATAATAATCATGATATTTGTCAGCAATTTTCTATAATCTTATTTTTTAAGCCAATAATTTAAACAAACAGCATGTCATTCACGTAAGTATCAGTTGTAATAAATGACAGAAAAGAAATAGCAAACACAGAAAAAAATTAAACAATATTCTTTTATTTTTAGTATAACTATCAATATTTTATATTTCAACTATAAAATTAATTACAAAATTTACCTAATTGTAATGGAAAATTTCTGAAAATATAATTCAATTATTTAACATAAATCAGAAACGCTTAGAATAAAATTATATTGACATTCTTTTTTTATCTTTCTCGTTATTAAAAATAATTTAATTAAAAAGAAATTCTTTTTTCATCAAAAGCGCATTTACACAAACAAATTTTATAGAAGATTTAAGATTTTCCGAAAAATAATAAAAAAAGATTGGAAAAATAATACTTTCAAAAAAATTTTTCTTACATTATATACGTAATTGTAAAGAGTTTTTTCAAATAAAAAAATTACAAGCTGTAAAATTTATCTGCAAATTGTGGCAAACATTTTTGATAAATAAATTAGATAAATAATAAAATAGATTTGTCAAAACGTTGAAGACAATTGAAGACGATTGAAGTGTTTAGTAACTATTCACTATTATGAATAGATAATTATAATAAATTCGAGAATAATTTGAAAAAAATATTTAATTTTTTCCTAAAGCAATTAATCTTTTCTTGTCAGACAAGTGGATATAATGGCAGCATGCAATACGAGAGATCCAGAGATCTTGAAAATAGTTAAGTGTTTGCGTGCGATCTCTTTCGCAACACTAAATTAAAATAAATCCGCAGAAGAGGAGGGAAATGAAATAAATAGAGTCGCCAACATGGCACAGAAGTTTATTCGTAGCAGCTTCTTTTTGCTTGTCTATTTTGCAAAACGTTTTAGCGTTCTGTATAATCTACATATTTAGCGGTGCTAATGGTTAAAAATAGATTTTGTTAATATAGCATCGAAGATATTATAAAATATAAGAAAGGTACAAAAATCGTCATATTGTACATATTATTATCATTTTGATTTTATATTAAAAATCTTCAAAAATGAAAATTTATTTTACTTACAAATATATTTATTAAAGAACATTTTTTATAAAGTAGAGCAGTTTTGATAACAGTGTTTTAAACTTTTAAACAAGCAAAGCCTTTTTGTATATACATTGTATAACTTAGAAAGAAATTAAGAAATTTGCTAGAAAACTGACATATTTATTAAAAATTACAGAAATAAAAGTAAATAAGAAATTGTAGAAATTGGAAAGAATAGTAAAGAATAAGACATTTAAAAAGATACTCACACATTGCTATTATCAATATTTAAACTGAGAAAAGTTCGTTAAGAAAAATTCATTAAAAATTATTCGATAAATTATTCGACAAATCAAAAAAGAATCTTCAAAATTTTAAAATACTTGAGTCAATTTAAAACATGTGAATAATCATTATAAATATACAAGTTACGGATTTTTACTGAATTAATCAATAAAGCAGACAAATTCTTTCTTTTTCTGAGTTATAAAAATGGATATAAAAATGCAAATAGAGGCATATTAGTTGTTTAAGACATATAAGCCAGTTTTAATTTTTTTAATATCAAGAAAACCATATAAAAATATATAACAATGTAACAATAAAAATATATAACATTGTAACAATATATAACAATGTAACAATATGTATATATTAATTTGCATTTATAAAATTAAATATTTAATAATTCCTAAATTTTTTATTGTAACAAACAAATTTATCGTGAACATATTTAAGTGCATTTAAGTTGTATAAGACTTGTAGATCTATTTAAGAATCAGAAGTTTACATAACAATAAGTTAACCCTGGCATGCTCACTATTATGTCACATGATTAACGTTTGCCGATAAGAAATAGGAGGGAAGAACATTGCACTATATAAATTCAATCGCGTGTGTGATGCAGAAGTTCAAAATTATTTCTGCAACTCTACGTCGTATTATGAATCACTAAAAACTAAAAAGCGCTATAAAACTTATTTCTTAAACATTTCGTGTTTTTCTTTATTGGTAATTTATTAAACTTCAATCTAATATTTATTTAGATGCAATTTTTTTCTATTTTCAATCATATTAATAGGAGTTTGTCTGTCTAAAAAGAGTATTTTAAAAATATAAATAATTTGTGTGTCCAAAAAGAATATTTTAAAAATATAAATAGTTTGTGTGTCTAAAGAAAATATTTTAAAAATATAAATAGTTTATGTATCTACTGAGAATATTCTAAAAATTAATATCATGAAAAACGTTGATCTTAACTTTATGTGATCCTTTCAAGTTTAGAATTTTAATACAAACTATTTATTGCATATTCTTAAAAATAACGTTAAACTGCTTTTGTTCTCTAATATTTCTCGATTCATTAATTTTGTATCTTTGCTATTTAATAGAAAAACGCGTGGCTAGACGCATCATTCTCTTTCGACTTGTGTGCTATCGTTTATCAACTTAAATCCAATATAAATTAATTAAGAGATAAAAATGAAATAATGTTTATTATTGCAATTATTGATATTGAATCGTAACAATTGATTATTTATAAATTAAAATAAGCTGACAAATTTATATCTAAATTTGTGTAAGTTAATCTCCAATATATTCTAATGAAGGTATTATTTAAAGTCGGAGGTCAAGATGATCAATTATTCTTGAAAAAAATTATTCTCTTAATATTAAATAAATATCCTTAATTATCATGCAGTAATCATACTATCTTTACAATATAGTTTCCTAATCGGGATTATTTCTTTTTTCGAGTGATGAATGAGAAACAAGTTTATAATAATCATGATAATACTTCTGTGCTTCCAATTTTAACAATAATTCATTTAACACGTTGAACGCCATGTCGGTTATTGGTGTCCGACGATAAATTTTTAGGCCGTGTCGGTTATCGATGACCAACAATACATTAAAATTTAATAAATAATATTCTAATATTAAAAATCGAAAAGTTTGAAGATTTAAAAAAGAAAAATGTATCTAAATATTACTTTTATTAATAATAATAAATAGGAAAAGTTACCAATGCGTACTGATCTCCTAAATCGTATACCATGGAGTTTCCTATTATTATTTAACATTTGCGAGCAACAGTTGTTCTCTAGAGTGGTATATTTTGAAAGTTAGGTTACAATTCCTATTATATAATTTATCCTTTGTAAGACCGTGTTATCTGTGTTCTCTTAATCGACTATTCAAAATCAAGATTATCAATTATCAATTATATACCACTATCTATTTGTAACCATTATATGATAATCATTATCCATTTCGCAAATAATTTAATTAAATTTTCTTCTATATTATTATAATCTTAAATACTTTCTATTATATAAACCAAATTTTATAGGTACGATTTTGGAGTATAATATTTGAAAAATTAGTTATCAAAATTGTACTTTTGATCACTTTCAATTGCATAGAATATATATGTAAATAATAAAACTTTATAAGTTATTTATTGCCTCAAAATGTTTAAATAATGATGTCACTCTATCTTTACCGGCATATTTATTTTTTTAAATAATCATATTTTCTCAATAATCCAAAATTCTTTAAGTAGTACGATTTTGGCAACTTTCCCTTATAATACAATGTAATAATAAAATTATTTTAATAGATTTTGTTAAAACGAAACCGAACTAATGAAGATTGCTGAAGAAAACATTTCTAACGAAACGGAGAGAATATACGTGAAAATATATACAAAATGTACACGAAGTTATATGTATAATCTTATTACAATCTTGCGTTTCTCTTTGCGTCCAGTTGATGGCATCGCGCGATA